TCTTCGTGAAGGGTTGAGCCATGAGTGTGTTGGAGTTATAGATTCAGAAGTGTATCAGTAAAGTTAGCCAGTCATTCTTGCATTATCAACATTTTCAAGAAGAAAGCATCTCTCTTACAAATCAACTAATAAAGATTCAGTGCTCAAAGTCTATACTCAGATTCATTATATTTGATGCCTGAATACCAGTTTGCTGTTGCTTGTGTTAAATGGCTCCCATTCAGCCAGATCTCCTTCCCAAGTCTCTAGTATTTAGTAAACACTACCCTAACATTGTGGTGCTTTCCTCAATCTCCAAGAAGGTAATTAGAATAAGACTCATAGATGCAAATGCCTTATGAACCACAGTTTGGGGTGTGTGAAGTGTTGTGTTGGAGTAAGATCTTGCTACCTTGGGTTTTTTCCATTGGTGGTGGTGGTTTTTTGTTGTTGTTTTGTTTTGTTTGTTTTACTATAAATTCTACTCATTTCAAAGCCAACCTAAAATGCCACTGCTAAGGAAAACCTCATTACTTTAGACCCATGGTTTTCTCTGGTTTGCTGCAAAGACATTTGTAAATGTAGCAAGAACCTTAGGGATAACTAGGATTTAATTAAAATTCACTGTGTTTCAGAAACCATGCTAAATGTATTACATATTTATCTGAATTCTCATCTTTAATTTTCAACAGTATCTATGAGTAGTATTATTATCATCCGTCTTTTATAAACAAAGTTCAGAGAAATGAAGGCATATGCCCAATGTTATCCCCAAAACAAAAAATAAACAATAAAAAAGTAGAATGAGGACCTAAAACCAGATTTGGTGGTTGTCCAACCTTAGTATCCAACCACTGTAACCACTGTATTATATAAGCATGAATTTATAATTGGCATAAAAGCTGTTCTGCAAATGTGCTGTACAAGAAAGCTCACATTTTTTTCTTTAAATGTATTTAGATCTCTATCCAGTTTCCATCTGTCTGCACTTGTGTGCACTGCATTCTCCTTGCATATGAAGGGTAGAATCATAAGTGGTGATAGAAAACACTTCCCCACGATGGGTCATATAAGACCCAGAACTGTTCTGCAGAGCAGAATATACAATATGGGCTTTCTAGTGTTTAGCTTTCACTGGTTTATTACAGGGGAGTCTGGTGTCCAGGCACAGAATTCCATATTTTGGAGAACCATGATACTTGTAGTGCAGCCTCACTGGAAGTCTTCCCTCCAATAAGAGGCCTTGACATTTTACCAGGGTACTGTGAAGGGCTAGGCTTTTGGTGCTCAATATTCACAGAATTTCTGCCTTTTCTTTCTCTTCTAGAGTTAAATTCTCCCTCCCTAGCTGACTATCAAAGGTCTCACCCTTCTCATGCCCATTCCTACCCATGTATGGCTTTCTTAAATGACTACAGCTTCTGGAAAATAAAAGCTAGGTTAGGTTGTCCACAAACACCTTCTGCTTCCTTTGGAACTCAGCCTCTCTACACTTCAAGACCAAATACATGGCTTCAGCTAATGATCACCCTTGATTTTTTGAACCAGAAAATGAGTACTGGCAGCCTTCAGATCTTAACCAGTCAAAAGAAGTGAGTCAACTGACTCAATGTTTTCTAACAATTAAGTTATATTTAAAATTTTGGAGAATTTGTCTAATAGCAGTTGAATCTGGAAACTTTCAGTGAGCGTTTCACATGGTGGCAGCCACTAATGCTGAGTAGCCTCTGTCCCCTTGCTATATCCTGTGCTATCCAGATCACCTGCATTTCCATCACTTGTCCTGAGGTTCATCAGCTTGAAATAGATTTTCTTTGTAATAGAGAAATATGTCTCTAGTCCATGCTTCTAACAAAAGTGAAACTATGTAACTTAGATTAAATGAGTTTCAAGTGGCAAGAAAGATGGAAAAAATATTTTCCTTTGTGAGAGTGATTTGCACGTCTCTATGCTTCATGTCTGTTTTGAAGAAGGGCATCTCTCCTGCTTCACTTGCTGATGTACCTGTCTGTCTGCAGGTATCTCAGCTTGCATTTCTTCATGGGCTTTCCCAACATGAGAAGCAAACAAGCTGAGGTATTTTTAAGATCATTGTCGTCCCTATTATAGGGTTTTCATTCTTGCCAAGATTTAAATTATTTTATACTATGGACTCTGTACCTGTGTGCCTGTGTGTGTGAGAGAGAGAGAGAGAGAGAAAGAGAAAGACAGAGAGAGAAAGAAACAGACCAGAGAGAGAGAGAGAGAGAAAAAGAGAGAGATACAGAGAGAGAAAAGCCAAAGCCTCTGAGCTTACTTCCAAAAATACTTGTCTAGTCAGGCCAGCCTTTCAGGACCACTTCCACTTTTGGTTCACTTTCTCTGTCCCACATCGAAGTTGTCTACCTTCTAAAAAATAGCTAATTATAGTGATGATGATGATGATAATTTTAAAGAATATCTGGTGTAATCCTGGTTTAAGACTCAGTGTTTCCTACTAAGCTTTCCATCATTTTTAAGTCTGCACTATTTTTTTGTTCTTACAATGATTTTAAATGTATAGTAAACAGCAGTAATCATGAAAGTGATATATTTAAATACAGTCTACTTAGTATCTGTGCAATAGTGCTGTGTCTAAAACCTAAAGAATCAGAGTAAGACCTTTGAGGGGCAAAGACTATATTTTATCTAGCGTGTGGTCCACATGTATATATATGTATTATGTGTGTTTCCAAAGAAACCATAGCACAATTTAATTACACGCTGTATGAGACTACTTGTAATTGATTCAGTGATTCAAATCTGAGTTTTTGTTAATACCATATTGACTTGCATAATTTCCCCACTTTACCCCATTTTTTCACAAGCACTTAGGTCCCAATTCTCCACTGCCTTGAAGAATCACCCTCTGGGAATCTGATTTACTAAACAACAGTAACTTTAATAAACTACTGCAGCGACCAGTTCTAATGTTAATTAGAACAGAGATCTCCTGACATGTTTGCTTTACTTCACTAATTCCTCCATTCCTCAAAAGAGCTGTTAAGAACAACCATTTCAAGTGACTAAAGTACTTTTGGTAAAGCAACAGTCTGTGACTGGCAGAAGTTTGTGTGTGTGTGTGTGTGTGTGTGTGTGTGTGTAAGAGAGAGAGACTGAGAGAGAGAGAAAGAGATCACCAGGGAAAGGTGACAGAGAGAGAGAAGTTTATAGGTAGAGTCTTCTTTCCTCTCATGTTCAATGTGTTATTGGGAGCCTATAGCTTAAGGGAGGAGGGTTATAGATTACTGTTCTAGTGTTGCTGGTAACAGGATATTTTATTCATCATTGTACTTAAACACTAGAACACTGGCTGTTGAATCATAGGCATTCTGGTAATAGTTCTGGTTTTTATAAACTATCTGTGGTCACAATATGTTATATTATTCACATATTTTACATAAAAATGATATAAATGTAGCTAATTCCTTCATCTATCTATCTATCATCTATCTATCCATTTAGTTGGGCAGTGCTGGAGTCTTTTGAATTCATGACCTTGTGCTTGCTAGGCAAGAGGCCTGCCACTTGAGTCATTTTCTCAGCCATTTTATGTTATTTTTGGAATAGGGGCTCATGCTTTTGCTTGCCAGCCTGGTCCATGGTCTTCCTGTTGAAGCCTTCCATGTAGCTGGAATGACAGGCACATACCATCACAACCAGTTCATTCATTGAGGTTAAGTCTCACTAGGTTTTTGCCCAGGCTGGCTTGGAACCGAGCCATGAGTCTCCTGATTCCCACTCCATGAATAGCTAGGATTACAGCCAGGAGCCACCATACCCAGCTGCTAATTCTTCAAAAAATACTAATAAGCCCCAAACTAATCATAAGCCCCAATTCCTAAGTAATGTCAAACATTTTGGGAAACAGACTAACATTTTTCCCCTCAAAAAACTATTTTTTTCTTTTGAAAGAATGCACAAACATCTCCTTATATACTTATGGCAATTTATACTTTACTATAAAATATATTTTAAAAATTTCTGATAAAAGCAGATTTGAACTTATCCTATGAAGCTATCTCTCCACAGGTAGAAGCCATGGCTCCACCACCGAGGCCTGAGATTCCATTTGGAGTCTGGGGACGCTCTTGCTGGTCATTTTTCTGGGAACATCCTCCCAAGAGAAGAGAATATTTCATTCTGTTAGAATTTTAACTTGTGCATAAGTGTCAGGGACACTGTAGGCTAAATTTATGTAAATTGCTTTCTAAGATGAGTGTTAAAGTTGAAAGAACATTAAAGGATTGGCCTTTTCTTCAGAGCCCTAACACTTTTACAGACTAGAAACCTGAAAACAACAGGAGGTTCCCTGATTATTTGTTGTTTATTTCAGTGAGTACAGCATGTAGATTAATCAGTTCAAAGCAAACATGTGCTGCTTTTAGCAATTGATGTTTTATAATATTTATCTATTAACCAGGAAAAATTGCATTGGATGTTTTAATTTTATTTAAAGTTGTATAGATGAAAATTTCTCTTTTGACTTAGATCTGGATCTAGTACCAGGCCCAAATGCCCAGTTACTGGTCTTCAGCTCACTACTTTAGAGGCCTCGAAACATCTGTTCTCTCTACTGCCTCCACATTGTCTTTGATACATTCCTATCCTCAATTTTACTTCCATTCAAATTTTGCCAGTTGCCTAAAATCTTTTTTTGAAGCAAAAGAGGAATAAACACTAAATCAATAAATGGCTTTATTTGAGGCCTCTAGGTATTTTTGAAGAAATTTAGGACAAAACCTTTTGAATTGTCAGGCTACTGCCCTGCACAACTTCGAGAAGTGTCATTTACTTACCTGTCTTCTCCGTGAAGAATAGTACCAGGGAGTAGTGTAATGTGTTGCTATAGTTCTTTATGTAAAGGGCTATTTATTCTGTCTGTCTGAGTGGAGACAGACTTATGTGAGGTGACAGTTCTCCGAGTGAAAATTGCATGAAAGCAGTTTCTGGTAATAAGAGTTATGAGGCATTGCCATCTGGAAGATCATAATTCTGCTTACCTGAACCGTGGTTTCCTGCCAATAAAGTAGGGCTCACAGAGCACCTTCCCATTCTACTGGTGACCACAGGTGGACCCGGTGTTCCATCCCATTCCTGAGCTTTGACAGGCTCTCTGGAGGAAGATGCTCCATGGTGCCCTCTCTCTTTGTTGTCCAGCTTTGGTAATGGCTCCGTGCTGTGGCTTCGGACTTTCAGCTCCTCTGTGGATTCTGTATATTAACCAAATTACTTTCTGTTAAACAAGAGTCAATACCTGTCCAAATTCCTTTCAGAAAATTAAAGAGTGATTCTCTTAAATGCTTTCAACACGTTGCTATAAACTTAGACTTGTGTTAGAAAACATACCATTTAAATATGATGGGTACACGGATCCCATGAGAACTTTTCTCCTTTTTTACTATAGTGTATAAGTTAATATCACTAGTGGGAACACAATTTCTCTTTGGAAAAGGAATCTTGAGCCTTCTTTAATAACTCTGTGCTTATTGTTAAGAAAATTTCTTAAAGAACACTTTATATTCCTTCTCTTTACTTTCTCATCTTCTATTCACTCATTTACTTCATCATGTATAGAAACTGAACAGATAGCACTTCTTGCTAAACTCATGATTCCTCCTGTCCAGCCAACCATCCATGTGAGAGGTTTGTCTCTTCCTTTCTTTAACTCTACTCCCCAAAACCATCAGTCAGAAGATCCTTAAGATTTTATTTCTGAAAATCTTGCTCTCCCTTCTCTTCTACTTTGTATCATGCCTACTCAACATGATACAAAGCTCTAGTTCAGTCTCTAATTCTTTCCCAGAAATAATTGCAGTTTGTCTCCGATTCTCTTTGACTCCCCAAAGTACAATCTCCTCATACTGCCAAAGTCATGTACTTAAAATGCAAATGTATCATAATATACTCCTGACAAAAATCCTAACAGAAGCTTCTTGCTATGACAGAGTAATACCTAAGCTCTTTACTGTGGGCCACAAGAATCCTCACCATCTTGTTCTTCCCTTCTTCCCTAGCTTCATCTCTTTCTGTGATCATTATACGCAAGGAACAGAACTAAAATGTTTATGTTAAAATGGTTATCTCTGCCTCCTTCTCCAACCCCAAGAAAAATAATGCTGTCTTCTACAACCACCACCTCCCTTTAAAACATTACTGAAGTAATTCTACTCACTCTGGTTATATAGTGGAGGTACCTACAAACTTTCATTTGTAGCAAGATTACTATGCTGCTTATTCAGGGATATTAAATTGACAATCTTCCCTTTCTCTGTCTCCCGCATGCTGGGAAGCTCAAGATTAACACTGTTGTAATCCAACCAGGCAATTCCACCACCCTCCCCCATCGTTCCCCGTACACAGGAAGGAGTAAACCTCTTCCAGACAAGACACAACTTCAGAGATGTGGCACCAGTAAATAGAGAGTTAAGAAGAACCAAGGCCATCACCTAATCGTGGGCCTCAAGTTGTCTGTCATGAACCTCACTGTTGAGCTCTTAAGCATTTCCTTAAAAACTGGACATTTTCTGTCAGGAGGTAGACAACACAACTTTGAGATAGATTTCACTGTCCTGTTCATTTGTCTATGTCTGGAGAATTAAATAATCAACTTCACTTCATTTTCCTCAAAACCCTTCAAAACCCTGCTCTCATTATTTATAAACTGGACCAAGCCCAGGGATCAGACTTTCAGGAATAGATACTCAGTTTAAGGGTCCTTTACGCTTCCTCATTCACCTTACCACCTGCTGGGTTATGGTCACCTCTGTACCGGCCTTGCCTTACATTACCTGTATATGTATCTGCTGTATACTTAAAGATCCTGAGTTCTTTGAAGGCAAGTGTTAATTTTCTTTCATGCATTTAAAAAATCAATTGTGCCTCTAATACTGAGCACATTGTTCTACAGGTATTTTACTTACTTTATTTACTGTTTAGAAGCTTTCTCAACTCCTCAGGTATCTTCCTGATACATATAAGAACTATATTTCTAATGTTACAAGAGAACCAAAAGTACTTGCTTGTTCTAATTTTGACAGATAGCATTTGGATGTACGTGGTGGCCACAAGAGGCAGACAGAGAGTCATTCTAATTCATTTCCCAACTTCACTGATCTTTATGTGAGATCAGGTAGCCAGAGCCCAGAGACTATCACAGGATGCTCTTTACCCAAGAGTAATCTACATTCTAAACGTCAACTATGTCTGGCATAGAGAGGTTTTCACAGTGAATTTAACAAAACAAAGATCCAGACCTAAGAACTAGATAGAGCAGAGGTTAGGAACTTCAAACAGAAATTCTGTACAACTTAGAGCAGGAGCTACTAGATTACTCAATAACTCTCTTAACAAGATAATAACCCAAATCCAGGAAATCACCCCAAAGGCCAAAATGACCGCTCCCTGTTGAACAGTCATCTCATTCACCCCAGACCCATTATTTTGAGCACCTGTGTTCTCCTAGCTCTCCACTATGAGACTAAGAGATGGGGACCATCATTTTCAGTTTTTGCTTCCATTTCCTGTGTGGGGAACAGGAAATGTTTCTCCCGTTGTTCTCACTCTAGAGACAACCCGATTTCAGTCTATTGAAAGTGTAATCCTTTCCTAATAAAAGTCACTATTACTTTTACTAAATCTTTGTGTCTTGCTTGAATTCTTCTCCTGCTAGACATAAAACCAAGGTAATTTTTAAGGCCATTTTTCCAGTAACATACTGTCTGTTCTCCTTTACTTTCACATTGCTAAAGTCCCTTCCAATTCTCAGATGCGTTGTAATGTTATAAATACCTGTCATGGATAACATTTCATAAGATGAACTTAACCCAAGATGGTAGTCCCAAACCAATCTCAGAAAGATTTCAGGTTTCTAACAACTTAGAATCTGTTTATAAATTTACAATCCAATTATACTAAAATCAAATATTAAAAATAAAATATTTAAACGTAATAGATTCCACTGTAATCCTTAGGATAAGAGAATTTAACCAACACTTGCTTTTCAATGCCCTGAGACAATTGGAATGAAATCAGTATCAGAAAAGAACAGCATCCACTATTCTCAAGCTGTTTATACAAAATTTCAAAGAAAATGTAATCCTGGCTCCCAAATATCACAGCCTCAAAGCTTAGTGGCCCATCCATTTCACTGGACCTTTTCTTCCAGATTTTAAACGAACTACTGGGGTGCTTGCTTTATTATCTTCTTCTGTATTTTCTTCAATTACTAAAATTAAGAATTTCTCTATCTTTGTTTTCACTTTGTCACACACACAAAATTCCCTTCCACTTAAATTAGAACCAGCCCCCCCCAAAAAAAATAGCCTTAAAGTTCACACTGGGTCCAATACTGTTCTTTCAGGTTCAGACATTTTTTAATATGAAAGATGTGGATGTGTCAAGGAACCTCCACTGAAGTCAGTGTCATTGTTCTCATTCAAATGACTCCAATGTATATGTCAGGGGAGTGTCACAGAGGCCTCAAACTTCAACTACATAAAAGCCCAAATCAGCTTTGGGAACAAAAAGCATTTTTCCCCAATTTCTTTTCATTTTTCTTTGTTTTCAAGTGCCAAGGTTAACTCTTCAGTGAATTTTGGCAGATTAGAGAAACTTAAATGAAAGGATTGAAGAAAATTGTTCTGCTCAGACTTAAATCTATAGACCTAATGTCTGCCTCCTAAGTAGAGGACAGAGATGGAAAATTGGTAAGAACATAACAAATTTATTTCAGAGCAGTTTATTTGTGAATAAATCTGGTTTTCTATGTATTCATCCAAGAACTGCATCCTAACCAAATGTATTTTCTAATTAAAATAAATATAAAAATTCTCAAAATAGCTGCTGAAAGAAGCCAAATGGAAAGTAGACCAGCAGGCTAAGAAATGCATAATTAAGATATTAAAAGCTCAAAAAAAAAAAAAGCTATTCAGCGGAATAGGGAGATAGTTTTATCTATCTATTTCAATGTTGCTTAGAGTCAATAGAACAAGATGGATTTCAGTAACGTAAACTTTCCACAGTAAGATGAATCTTAGATACTGTGGTAACATTTTCTGTGGGATCTAAGCTCTCAGTGATCACAGTTATAGCTCCTGCTTTTTCACACAGGGCCAAATATATAAAATATACTTCTCATGCTCTGTTTATTGAATGAATGTTTATCGAACAAACGTTGATTATTGCTTTAAAATCAGATTCTCACATTGAAAACTGAGCTCTGTTTCACAATATAGCTCTTGTTGTGAATACATATATTTTTACATTATATTTCTTTTTCAGACAATGTGTTTTCATATCATTAACTTAAACTTCTTATAGTGGCTTAACCTGAAAAAGGAGACTCAATCTTTCCAGAACCAAATGTTCTCTTCAGGAATCCAGTATATTAATCCTCAGGCAGCTAACTCTGAAATTCCTTCTCAATGTTTGCTCATTTCTTTCATTTTGCTATCTTCAGTATTCATTTGTCTGTCAGTCTTCTTCTCTGCCCTCTCCCTGCCCTGGTCCCTGGGTCACCAAACCAGCTTGGCTCTCCTGAGTTATATGGCTTTCATCATCAGATCTGATCCATCAGGTACTGGGTTATACCAGAATCTCTAATTCACTCTTCTTCATCTTCACCAACTTTCACTTCCATCAACAAAACAATACTGAGATTTCTCACAAATCTCTACCAACTAAAGATCCCTCTCCATGTGTATAAACAAAAAAAATAGTACTGATGGGTTTTTACCTATGGCTGCCTGAGATGGGGAGCAGGGAAGCGACATGTTAAAACTGATCTTAGGAGCCAGACAAACTTGATTTCGTACTTCGGCCACACCGTGTATTTCTACTTAACCTTTCTCAAGACTCCCGAACCTCAATTTCCACATGTTTATTATACATGAAGATAGTAGCAATTGTTCTTATTGAATTTCAGTGAGGATTAAATGAGTTAATGCATTTAAAGTTCCTTACATTGCACTGCAAGTAACTATTTCAGTTTTTCCTTTTAGGGACTTCCATTACTCCTCTTAGAGTATCTCAGAAATCATCCTAAACTATGTAATCTCTCCTATGGGGAATTCAAGACCCAAAACACAGAAACGTCATGTATATGCTCCCTCACCACTAACCCTGCTTTAATTCTAGCCTGCATCTTTCTTCCACTAAAATTACTTCCAGGCTCCCTATGACCCTCAGAATCAAGGTCCAGTGTTTTCTGTTT